GTATTATTTCAATTACTTCAAAATGTGGTAAGCTAACTGCTGCATTTGGGGCTCCTTTTGTTGCATGGGACTCTGGATGTTTGCCCTGAAGTGCTGCCCTGACAGCGCAACTGAGCTCAGTTTGGTTAGAGAGCTTTCCTAAGCTTATTCAGACAGCAAGGCCTGCATAGTTTCCTTACTCCCAAGGTTCACGAGTTTCCCTTGTGGGCTAGCTGAGTCTACTTAGTTCTCTGAATCCTTTTTTTATATATATAAAAGAAAAAAGAAAACCTGCCTTGGGGGGCTTTTACAGAGCGCTTTCTGAGTAGCGATTACTGTCCAGGACTTGGATGAGAAGCAGAGAAACACTTTCAGCTTTTGTACAACCTGCTTAGCCATTCAACAAAAGGTTCTCCTTTATCAAACACACACATTTCAACACAAAAAAATAAAAGATTTACAAAACTCAGTTCACCTCCAAACAAAAGAGAAATCATGCAAACATTCCTTTTTGTATTAGATTAGTTTGTAAAACTAGGTATTTAATTAAATTTTGGTGCTTGGGTCTGGTCCAGCAAGCCACTTAAGCACATCTTGATTTCATCTGCCAGATACATTCCCTTGAAAGCAATCCTAGACTGTAAAGGAGAGCAAGGAAGCCCTATAGATTGAATAAATTCTAGACTGTGGTTTTTGCCAGGGCAAAAGTTTAGTGACATTTTCCTTAGCCACACCTCTTAATAACATGCAGGAGGATACTTATGAGGCAAAAGAGGGTGCCTGCAGAACAATGTAAGCATGGAAATAACTTGCTGCGGTAACAATCCACCTTGGGGGGCTGCAAGCACTGCTTTCTGATTTGGTGGCCCTGAATGGGAAGCCTGGACTTTGAAAGTCATCTAATCTTCCTTGCTGTATTATTTTAATTAGTGTTTTTATAGTGTTTTAGAGTGTTTTTATAGTGTTTTGATTTTGTGTGGAGTGCCCTACCTGGGTGGATGGAGCAGCCAAGTAATTTCGTTGTCCCCGAGAGGGGGCAATGACAATAAAGATATTATATTATTATTATTATTATTATTATTATTATTATTATTATTGGTGGTGGTTGCTGTACCTCTTACATCTGTTTCGACTAGTGAAATGCATAAATTGGTTTGACTGGGGAGACACAATGGAATTCAGTGACTTGAATCATTTTAAGTTGTATGCTCTAACCATTGCCTTACAAAGATCCCTGATCCATTTTCATTCCTGTGCTACAGTTCAGATGTTGGCTAACACTCTCCTCTGGTTCAGAGAGACCCCAGAAACGGCAACTTCTTATACAATCCTATCTGCATCCCTTTCTCTGTTACTAGTATGGTGGGTTAATGTTGCAATTAGTTCAGATTTCATTGTGCTTTTTGAACTTCCTAGGAGGATTTTTAGAAAAAAGCTGTAGTCTTTCCAAGCTTTATCCAATGACTTTTTTTAAGACATGGGAATTTTACCACCAGTCCTTCCTGCTGACAAGCTCACCCTTGCAAGTGGGGGGAGGGCTAGTAGCGGGGAGGGCTCACTGGTGACAAGAGAAGCCTTGTAGACTTTATCCTTAAGGCTTGGACACAAATAAGTACGTATATCCCAAAACATCATCTCTTATCAGGGTGCATGGGATTTTTTATTTCCCATGCTTCCTAGCCCTATGCACTGGATAGGGAGGAATAGAGAATTGCAACTGCCATGTACCCCGGCAAGAAAGGATACTTTGGAACACCTGGGAGAAAACCATTTCATAAAGGGTCATACTACCACCATCAGCACTATTTACATTTTGTTAATGAGAGATGGAAAAAGTGAGAGATGAAGAGATAGGGAAGAATAAATGATGAAAAAGTGAAATTGAGAAAAGGCCAAAAGACAAAATTAAGGGACAGAAAATGGGCAGACAAATCTAGTCACAAAATTAAAAACAGGCCCCACGTTGTACAATGGCGTCAAAGAGGGCTCCTAAGTCTAAAAGGTTTACTGAACTCTACAGTACTCTTAGGATAATAATATAAAAATAATACTGCTGAATAACACCCTTAGCATAAAGAGCACTTCACAAAAAATGGTCAGACTGAAATGCAGAAGATGCCTCATTTCTCCACACACTGATGCAAGGGTTTCCAATCTGTATTGTGGGGAACTCCGGGGTTCCTTAGAAGCCTGCCAGCAGCCTGTCAATTAGAAGCTCAATAATGGGCAGATAAACCTCCCTGAAAAACAGCTTGTCCAGCACTATAGATCTTCCCTTGCAGTGTGCAACTGTAGGGGAATGTGCACCGATTATGTTCTGAGCAGGCTCTCAGTTTCCAGGGGCCAAAAGTGAGGCCGCAGGACTCCTGGCCGGCATCCAGCATGATGTGCGTGCCTAATGCCCTCAATCTTTTGAAACATGTAGACATCAATGTAGAATATCCCTTGAAGGAAGAAAGTTTGAAAAGTAACACAGCACAGATGCATACATTTTAGATCACTGGTAAGTAAAATAAAATAAAAATCCTCTCTCTGGAAGTTAGTATAACAATCAAGTGCCCCAAGAAATCTACTACTCCCTGAGTTCAGTTCTATTTTCATTTATATCTGAACTGGTACATGCTTTCACAAATGTCGCCATTTTCAACAACTGGTATGAAAATCAGTCTGCTTCAACAATAACTCTACTAGTAAATGAAGATAGAAAGGTGTTTATATGAAAGTAACTTCCGTACTCTCAATTTCACCTATTACAAGCTGTTTGTCTGACTCATGGCTATTTCCTTTCCTGACACAAACACATCTCCTTCCTTTTCCTCTACTGGCAGGATATAGTAACTGGGGGTGAAAGTGAACTACTCCTTACTCATACACCACCAACAAAACAAGCAACTGACTGGTGAACGAACCTGACTGCTGAAAAATGTACATATGAACTAGAACTAGATTTCAAAGAGATTACTCAGTCTTAAAGGGCAAGGCTTGCGGCTCTGACAGAAAAATAACTTTTAAACCTGAACATCTGGCCTCATTACACTGGAGTCACTGGAGAGGAATATAAATATGAAACTCTATTAGTATTTTAAAGTATTTTCTGGATCTTAAAGATGTGATTTAAACCAGAATTTGTGTACTACTGCAGATTTTAGGTGACACGTTTAGATCCACATTTGAGGATATAATCAGCAATGTGCAAATCCAGGCTTTTGATTTCTCCCTTTATATAAATAACAATACTTACAAAATTAGAATTTCAAACCCAGGAGTCTCAAGCATCAGAGACTTTGAGTAAGACTCACTAGGGCTTACTTATCTTTTCCCTTGTTCTCACAATATACTTGAAACGTAGTTCAAAATCTAACTCAACCCTTTGACCAGCCATCCTTGTCTTCAAATTGTTGAGCAGCATTTCTCAAGAGTGAAGCGGCAATAAAAGAGCCACTGAATAATTGGATTCTTTTCACCACTGAGCACTTCAAGTTTACAAAGGCACAGAAGTCTCCCACTGCAGTGCTCTTGGGCAGCTTGGCGATCTCCTAAAATGATATAAGAGGTGCAGTTTTCCCTCCACCCAAGTCTCACCAAACAATTTTCAGTACTTGTACCGAGACCATGAGATCGAAAGAGACCAGGCAATAGAGCAGCAATTTACATCAACAAAGGGGATTTTGATGCACTCCTCCGAATGAGGCAGCATTACCATGTTAATAGCTTTTTCACTCTCAGCCTTCTTTTCCCTAGGACGCTGGAGACTTTTGCAAATGGAGAACAGTTCCGCTTTCCATTTTAACTACAAACAATAGCAGAGTAGCTCCTTAAACTGCATCAAATAGCAGTCAGTGAAATCTCTAACTAGCCATCCTCTCCTGCCGTTTTTTATTAACCACCAGGCCCAGGGAACAAAAGGGAGAGAAAGCAACTTGCAGTTTTAACTCTATCCCCACCTCCAAATCCCCTAGTGATGGCAAGAGGAATTGCCTACAGAGCCACTAAATCAAACTTCTTTACTATGTTTTGTGTGTGCCTCCTTCCTGTCACCCACAATTAAAGAGGATTCAGGTATGTTTTCTAGTATTGGTTTGTTTGTGGCCTCCTGGTTAACAGAGCTGTGATGGGATCTCCCCTCCCCTCTCCCCTTAAGCTTCATTTTTCAGACAGCTGTTGTTCTTCACTAGTTCCCACACTCATCCACTTGTTCCCTTGTCACATACTTTGAATGTGTTCTCCTCCTGACACTGACTGCCTCACACAATAATACACAATAATGAATGAATGGAAATGTTGCCTCTGCTGTCAGACCGTGGAATACAGCCCATTCATTAGCACAAAAATGTTCTTCTGCCACCAGCGTAGATATCATCCTTTTTACCTGACACCTTTCAAGAAGCTTCCTTTTAGGGGTGGGGGTGGGGGAAAGTTTTCCCTTTTATGCCGCTTCTTGCGGCATAAAAGATTTTCTTAGCTGGCTCAAAGAACCCTAATATGGCCCTGTCTGGAAGTTACTTTTCTCCCATTAACCTCTATGTGCAGTGGCATCAGGGATAGATTTTGGATTGCCCCCCCCCCATCATCATTTTTTGTTAACAAAACAGGTTGGATTTAGTAGTACTTAGAATAGACCCACTGAAACCAATGGGAGTTGACTAAGCCCAATATAAAACCTATATAACCTTCTGAACCACACCACTGAAGATTAACATGCAGCCTCTTGGTTGGTTTCCTGCAATAACTGACTGCAATAACAATAGGTGTAGCAATACTGGCAGGCTGTCACCACATATACAAGGCAAGACCATTAGAGGAAGATTCCACATTTATTCAAACATATATAAGTATAATGATCTGGAACAAATATAATGATCTGGTCAAAATATTATGCCAAGAAGATGCCATATTGTTTATTTCTGCCTAGCTGAAGAGAAAAAGTCTCTCAACAGGAAATGTACTTGATGTGCAGGTGATGCAAGAACAAATGTAAGACTTGTGGCATTTCAGTATGCAAAACTGACTCACAGTCTTACCTTGGAGAACGAACCCTGAATTTTCAATTCTGTACAGGAAAGATGTGAATGGCGCAATCGGGGACTTTGCAACCAGAAGCTGCAGAAACAAAGACAAAAACCAACAAAAAAATCCTATTTTATGCTGCTACTGATTACAATTCCAGTTCACAGAGAAAGCTTAACAACAGCAACCATCAAAAGTCTAGGCTATTTTGTAACAGCGGCTCTGCAAATACTACAGAGGTATACCACTTTTATTTGCAAAAAAATGTGCCTTTAGCCCTTTAGATTCAAAATATTCATAATTTTATTCACATTTAAGTCATATTTTCCAAAATACCACACCATTTGAATATGCCCTTCCACTCTGTTGTATATGTTTCAACAGACAACAAGAAATGCTCCAAACATCTGTGTGTTCCAGCACAGAAGGAGAGAAGATGGACTATGGCAGAACAATGAGACTCCACACAGAAATTTGCACATTAAGAAAGGAGCTAAGTCAACCCTTGTACCCATGATGGCTTTGGTTTCTTAAGAGTACTTGCTATAAAATATTCAATTTTTCAGGTCAACCCAAGCCCATACAACCAGCCCCCTATATTATGATTTGCACACGGAATGGTTACTGGTAGTTCATGTGACTTGCTGCTGCCATTCCTGCAAAAACATGTCTGCAGCCCAAATCTGAAGCAGATTTCCTCACTCATTTCTGCCTCAGGAAAAAAAGGGAAAGGAACTGGAAAGCAATTTCCCAGTCTGTGGTTTTCACAGCGGCATTTCCAACTTTGTAGCCCTAAGGGCACCATTTAACAAGGCTGCTGATCCAAAGCACATTCTGGTTCTTTTCAGAGCTCCGTTTCAATTAAAGTGATGTCATACCCATTTCACCAATGCCCGGAAAATACACCAGACTTTACTACTTTCTTTATTTTTAAGTATGCATGGACAGAGACATTTCAAAAATATCCATACGGCCTGTGAACAGCACTGTCAGGGCCACTCTTCTGTTCCACAATTAAAGTTCTCCAGCAATATACCTTATAACCCTGCTCTACTTTGAGCTATGATAAAATCTGCCATTTCTTGTTGTCCATTAAATAACACAGTTCAGATGCGAGAAACGTATCTTTATCACTACCATGCCAAGCAGTGGCTTGTTTTTGGAAGTTGCAGTCCACAAACCAAAAGGTCCCTTGACCCTAAAGTGCAAGTGAAGGTGTTCAGCTGTTCTGAAACTCCTTCCGTAGAGTTTTATGCAGTGACAAGTACCATATGGGCAAGCTGCTACAAAAGCAAGTACTAAGGAAGGAAGAAATCTTCATAATGGTATTTTTTCATGTGCATTTTAGGGCCATTGGACAACTGATGTTATACCGTTTATATACTGGATGGGCAGGGGTGAGCACTAAAGAAATCCTGAAAGGTTAGCTACTTTCTCACTTTTTTATTTGGTTAGTGACTCTACATGGAATTAGTCAACAGACAGCCTGCTCCAGAAGATGAACAGTTAAAGCCCAGTGGAATATAACAACAACAAAAATCCTTTGTAAACTTGAACTTGAACTTGAAAATAAAGGATCTCATAATTGTGCTCTAACAAGCTCAGCTCTGTCTTATACTGATGATAACAAATGGATATATCCTCATTAAGTGGCAAAACAAAAGGCAAAGAGATCAGCACAGATGGCATGATGGGGGTGGTGGTTATTGGGTTGTTCTTGTTTTTATATTGATTATGTATTTTGTGGTTTATATTGTGATTTTATCATGTGAACTGCCCTGAGACCTGCAGGTATAGGGCAGTATCCATATTTAATAAATAATAATAGTGTTGGATTAATTGTTCTAATTAAAAAGCCATCAAAGAGGAGGGCACTTCATCCTTCGCTCTGTATCAGACCATTTTAGAGTCACACAGAGGTACAGCAAGTAGCTGAACCATTGCAAAAGAGTTCTCAGTGCACTGTATAAAGACACAATTCCTGTCCAAGATTGAGCTCCATTTTTGCCCACTTTCAACAGAATTCTTAGTGCTGATTCACATAGTTTATAATGACACCTAGCACAACACTGAAGCTCTTTTAAAACTGACTTTCCCTTTTTTAAAGCAGAGATGAATAATGAATTCAATTCATTATAAACTTTACAAAAATGAAACACAGTCTACCTGAAGACTTGGGGTGTGTGTGGTGTGGGTGTGGGGGGTGTGTGCAGACAAACAACTGGGGTCAGCATTTTAATTCCTAGTAAGATTGCTTGTTGTCTGCAATGTGAAGGATCATTCTACAATAGAAGAAAATGTGCTGGGCACCGCTTAGAAGTACATCTGTAAAGATCCTTACAAGCAACCTCTTATTCTTGCTTATTTATAACATCTGTTGGCCTACATGTATCTTCCCTAGCTACTGAGGTATGAGGGTACAAGACAAACAGAGCAAAAATGCAGGTTTAGTAACCATTGTCAATGTTTTGCTTTGAGTAATGTTATGCTAGCAAAGCCATCTCAGGATGTGATATAAACTTGGTGACCTGTTGCACGGTGGAAATCTGCAATGCAAGCACTTTCCCTTCCTCAGCATAAGTTATTGTTCTTCATGCAAAGAAAAGCTGCTGGAGAAGGAAGGAGCATGTCACTTGTAGCCATGATGCAACCCCCAGAATTCCCTTTCCTGCATTTAACCTCATTGAATGATGCAATAATCTTCACCCCAAGTCATTGGGGTTGCCATGTACTCTGCTCATGAGGCTTCAAGCAGCAAAATTGTATGGGGAAGTTCCGTTCTTTACTTACTGGTAAAAATTGGAATAAAATAAAGAACAATCTGTATAAAACACAAATTTCAAACAGCAGACACGTGGCATTATTGAAACAAACATAATAAAAAGCCCTTTTGTCTTGCATGGCTCCTCAGTGGAACAACACATCAATAGACTCAACCACAATATTATGTTATGCTATTGAAGTATTCAGATATGGCATATGGCAGAAACACCAACCATCTCCATTTCATAGTGTTCCCTGCCAACTGCCTTGGGATGATATGGGGAACTTTAGTCCTGACAATCCTTAAATGATGCCCAGGCAGGTGAGAAGAGAATGCAGAACAGAAAATAAAAGAAAAACATAAAAGAAAAAAGAATAGTGAGTGGAAAGGAACAAGAGCGAGAGTGATAAATAAAGAGATAAAAGAAACACAGGCACAGTTCTTTTTGCTTTAGCAAGGAGGAAGTTCCAAGCAGTGTTCCTTGTGCTGCATTAGTCATAAATGAAGTGAATGGGAGGGTGAAACCCCATCTCTTTGAGCAGGAGATCTTGGTCCCTATGGCAAACTATCCTGCAAAGTTTTTTTCAAGAGTTATGGCAACGGGTTCAAAAAGTTGCCCTGTGCTTATAACCCATATGTATGACTGTAGAGATCACAAAGAACAAAACCTTATCCTTAAATTTCACAAAATTAACTACCCAGTTATGAATACTATTAGAATTTTTAATCTGCTATGAGATTTTAAAACCACAACTAGCATTATTATTATTAACAACATTTATAAGTCCCTTTCCCAAAGTGGTGCATATAACTTTGTTCAGTTAGTTACTCTTTACTTTTAAGCCCAACTCTCTAATTATCCAGTTTGTAACTACATTTGCATGGCAGAGCATAGCTGAAAAGTGAGAAGAAATGCACCGAATCAGCAATGTCATTCAACAAGGGATGTGATTATCTTAGAATGTTCAATTAGATTCATGAACTAATAAAACCACTGCTAAGCAAAACAAATCTTTCCTCCGATTGTGCCAAATGTCTGGGACAGGCAATCCTTATGCCAGAATATCCCTTCTTATTGTAGATGGAGAAACATTGTTTTTTCAGCTGCTTCAAGAAAACAGGAAAAGAGCCAGTGAGGAAAACAACTCCATTGGCTTTTGCATCAATTCAAGAAACTTTACTTTCCCCTGTTTGCTCACATCTTCTGTACCATGCAGGGGTTTAATCTGCTGTGCCAGTACCAAAGCAGAGCAAAAGGGAAAATATTGAACTTGGAATTCAACCATTCAACTGCTAGTTCTTATTACGATCATAGGAAGGAAGATGTCTTATATATACAGATTCAAGCCATTGGTCCATCTAGCTCAGTATTGTCTACAAGGACTGGCAGAAACTCCTTGAGGTTTCAGACAGATATCCCTGGGGATGTCAAGGGTTGAATCTGGAACCCTTTGCATGCAAAGTGTGTGGCCTTCCACCAGATTCCCTGAGAACAGGGTATAGGTAACAATATTCGCCCAAATGCAGTATTCATGTTCCTAGCAATTAAATATGTGCCCAAATAGGGCAGCCTTGGGTACTGTTTAACATCACTAAACCCAAGCCATACCCAAGAAACTTTCTATATAAACATTTTTGCCTTTAAAAAATAAATCACCAGGCAGATTTATTATAGAATGCTTAACCTCACTTGGAAGTATACAATGCTCTAGGAATTCTGCTACTGTACTGGTCACTTCATTGCAGAAGTGCAGGCATCCTGACTCTGTGTCAAGATGGTCCCTGTAGCAGTGGTGTGGCTGCCTAGCTATTGTTCTGTGCAAGTTTCAAAACTCTGTGTCAAGCTTTCATGATATTTTCTTTAAATATTTATTTTTTACAGCATACACAAATGACAAATACAATCCCCACCACACATGTACACACCAACATGTGCATGCCCCCCGCGCTTATTTCCCAACCCCCATATTTGTAGAGTGTTTATACATTCAATGAGCCACAGATTTCCAACACTTTGCTATTGTTAGCCTTGCTGCTGTAAATAAGAAAACCAACAATTCCTTATTTTTTTTGACAGCTCAGCCTTTCCCATCATGGAAGCATAATAATGCAATTTGAGAAGAAGAGTTTGGATTTGATATCCCGCTTTATCACTACCCGAAGGAGTCTCAAAGCGGCTAACATTCTCCTTTCCCTTCCTCCCCCACAACAAACACTCTGTGAGGTGAGTGGGGCTGAGAGACTTCAAAGAAGTGTGACTGGCCCAAGGTCACCAAGCAGCTGCATGTGGAGGAGCGGAGACGCGAACCCGGTTCACCAGATTACGAGT